CCCATCACAAAGATTATGGAGCTTAAATATACTGAAGACCCAAAGTATTAATATTTTTGTATAACTGTAGGTGCCAATTAAATAATGGAAAAATAAAATTTGTTTCTGTGTTGATTATATGAGAGTTCAAATACGAAAGAAACACCCTGCGTGTTGATGAAATATGTTATTGTAGGCAGGATACATTACTTATGAGATTATAATAAGCTTTAAAGCTCAATTTTTATAAAAATACAAGAATAATCAAAAACTGTCAGTCGACTTGGAGCAAGCACTACTCAGAGGGGCAGTCGGGAAAGTGATAAAGTAAAGCCGCAACTTTATAAATAATGTATTTCTCAAAATATTCTTCATGTAAATGAACAGTTTCTATCCACTGTTGAACTAGAGCATACACATTTTAACGTTGAGCTTTGTAAAGATTGCTGTTGAACTTCCTCAGACATTGGCAAACAGCATCCTTCAAAGTTTCATTGTTACTGAAAAGATTTTTGTGTCAGCTTCCTTTTAGACGTGCGAAAAGGTGGGAGTGTGAAGGAGTACGACCTGATCTATGATGTGGATGATGAAGGACCTCTCACAGAAATAGTGCAATTACTGCAGTTATGAACACAGAAGTGTGTGGCCGTGCGTTATCATGGAGAAGGATGTCAGACTGCCTTTTTGAAGGACAAACTTACTGGAGGCGTCACCTAAGCTTGTTTGTTTTCACATAATGGGTATAGTTGGTGTTACTTGCTCCCCCCCCCCCCAATCCTTAAATTTGAATTATCACACGAGTTATTCTAAAAAATTAATGAGAAAAAATAGGTGGCATTATTCTGAGACTCCCTAGTATTTTGTCAGTGTGATTTATTTAACAAACACTTCAAAGAAACCCTCCAAAGCACTCCTAATGTTATAAATGGCAGAATTTGCCACGGATTCCGCAGACATGTTCATTGAGATTGGGCGAAGTAGCTCCAGGTAAAGGATTTTTGGATGGCGGCAATGCTGTCACTGAAGGGCGCTAGCTCAAACCAGCGCTCCCTTCAGGGCCGCAGAAAGCGCTTGAGCGTCCAGTGCTAGGTGACAGGTAGCCGCTCAATCATGTACAGATTTCCCTCAGAAATTCAGATCTCAAGATGTAAGAGAGAATCCAAAATTTATCGACAAGGTAATAAATGTGTACAGCAAACAAACCGATTTCAGTGTATTTCAAATAATAATTGAACTGCTTAAGTAGAATTTAAAATATTTATTATCAAATTTATTTCCCATAAACTATTGAGCTTTTATCAAAAGTCAGTGCAAGAGCACCCTGCTATATCCCCCCTCCCGTGTCACAGATGTGGTCCTGGATGCATTGTGAACCTTATTCGCATTTGCTGCACTGCGATTCCCTCCTGCCTATAATATCGAGGATAGTTTTCCAAAATCTCTGTTGCAGGTGTTCAAAGTATAGTCTGCAGAAATTTCTGCATAGCGGGAATTGTAGGCCTATATTTTAAAATACTAAAAGATTCAGAAAAGTAATATTGAAACAATAAAACTCAAAAGAAAATAAGAAAAACATGGATTGGCTACATTATAGGGTTATTAAAAATGAATGAACCAATTTCTGAACACATTAGTTACCAACTACTCAAAGCGAGTCAAGTGTATTCTAAAGAGCGAGTTCCTAAATTTTACAACTCGTTGTGTATTTCGAATTCACGTTTGGTGGGTCCTTGATACTGGAAAATCGATTGACGGCAAAACGTCTGTCCGTCAACAACATTAGCTGTCAAACCGTAAGCAGGATTTTCACCAAAATTAATATTCCCTTATCGATCTGACAATTGTCAGAGCCCCTTGAATTTGATATGGATTTTTATTTCTGGGGTACTTTACATAAAGCCTCAATTTTTAACCTTTTAACCCTTTCCCCTTTTTTACGACTAGTATATAACAGATATTTTGTATGTAACAGTCCACTACACAAGGTCATGCAGCTCTCTCCCTGCTAAGCATGCTCAGGGCGTTACAATAAACATGAGTCATAAAGAATCGAAATTACCTGCTTATCTAACATACAACAATATGTATATCATTTTACGCTCATGGGAGGCTAAAAAATATGTTTAGTTCCTTTTTTTAAAAGCAAAGGTCTGTCTTTTGAAAAGCAATGTCTAATAAAATACAAGTGATGAAATGTAAACTAATACATGCATCAATTGGTTTCATTCCCTCGTGCATTTGTGTGAAAACGTAATTGCAAAAACTTCAACCGTTCAAAAATTACAGGAGGTGCTAAAGTTACGTGACTCACTCTGTATATTGCAATGACGCACCTCGACTCTGTAGTTGTAATTCTGAGAATTCCTTCTCTTAGTCAGGAGAAGCTCCTATGAAGAGTCATATGAAAAGTTGTTATAAATATTGATTTCTTGTTAATATTAGTTTTACAAGAATTAATTTTTGCACCTAATGTTCTGCAATTTGTATTGAATTTTACATGTAATGTCTGAGATGTGTTAATCCATTAATGACCGTAATTCTCTGAAAAATATTTTTTAATCAAATTTGAATAACAAACACTTCTGAACTATTATTACGACATATTTAGAGTACAAAACCGAACGTGATTGCCAACATAGGAAAATTATCTGGCAACTTAAGTTGCCACTGGGATAAAGCAGTATCAATAAATGATAAAATAATCTCATGAAAAATATTGAAGTATATGTTTTCTTCTGTGAATTGAGAAAGAAACATAAGAATAATTTTACATAACTTTGATGGCTCTTATTGGGAAAATCTTATTTTCTAGGCAGTATGGAATGTTTTGAAGTGATTTGCTGGATGAAGTGATACATTACATTGTTTACAATACCTTCGTTCATCTTTCTCTACTACAGTATCTTTTCGATCTACACGTACTTCTTGAATTGCATTTGGAAAGGTTTTTCTTATGCTGGGCGATATTGCTGCTGTGCCATAAGATACAAGAAACTGGGTGGCACATTGACGCTTGAATTCTAGTAGAGGAATGTTATTTCCACAGTGTCAGTAGAGAAGCCATCCTTTTACACATATCAATGTCCCATTCGAAAAAAGGCCACCACCATTTCTTTGACCTTATGCCGCATCTGTAGATTGGCACAAACTGATCACATAAATCTACCCCACCCATATTTTTGTTGTCTTGACCAAATTATTCGCTGTGGCAACATAAGTTGCCACCGGGCGGTAATGGCTTAATATGGAAAAAAATTGCTATATATTATTACTTAATGGTTACTGAGGTGAGAAAGTACATGCTGTTGTAGCACCTTTAGTTACTTATTGTAAATAGGGTGTCTTGTAACGATTACATAATTATTTAGGGGAAGTTAAAAGGCACGTTACAGGGGAAGGGGAGTAGCGTTACGTAATTAATGCGCAACTCCTATTCAAAACCTAGAATGCTGTTCTTTTCAGTGTCGTGTAACTTGTTTCAAGAAGTTGCCTGAAAATTGAAAAACAAAGTTTAGAAATTTCGATTTTTAATAACTGTATTTTTTTTCCATTCGATCCTTACCTTAGTCATTTGCTTCACTTTCTATTTGCCTTTCTTTTTATTATTTTTTTTTTTAAGACAAAATAAATTCAATAATTTGATGTAAATAGTTCACCTCCCTTTTGAAATAGGCTGAAAATTCTTCATAGATGCAGTTTCATTCTAATTGCAATTACCTGTTTTGGTATATATTCTACAACGCCAATCAACACAAAATAGTTTGAATGTCCAGTGTAAAAGAACTTCTGTTAGGTGTAGCACATAGACTTGCGCACGGTGGGGTCTGGAAATTTCAAAGAGGCTACATCCCTACATAATACAATATTTTATTTTTGTAAATATTATCAATTCTTTTTGTTGCTGCTGTTATTATTATTATTATTATTATTATTATTATTATTATTATTATTATATAAAAGTAATTTTTTTTAAAGCCAACAATTGGGGAAGACACTCTCCAAACAATCTGGCAGCTCAGTAAATGGTTCGACAGAAAATAAATTTGTATTTATTAATTGTATCATTAAAATTATACTTCCATTCTCTTTGTAGTATGTCTTTATTATGTGCTAGTAATGTCTTATCTAAATTAATTTAAATGGAAAAAGAGAACCCCATTGGGCCCAGAAATGTAGTTGATTCCTTTCTGGTTTTGAGCTGCCCATCTGTGGTGTTGCTAATTACTTTCCCTCAATCTCTACTATCGTAACTCTTAGCATAACAGCTTGCTGGTTGGTGAGTCTTTTACTAGTAAAACAATCATCTTTATGTTGGTTCTCTTTGTCAGCTGTGACTTGGAATACTCAAGCAGACATTTCAAATGAATGTTAAGAAAATGGTGTACAGTGTAATGATGTGTTGGTTCAAGCCAGACAGTTCATCATTGTACCTCATTTCTATTTTCTTGGATATCCTCGTGAAACCTCTTGTGTCCTTCATCTACGTTTTCCAGAAATGTTGAATATGAGAAGTTTCAAATTCATATCATGCATGAGAGTTTAACTTTTGGAGCATATTTAGGGCTCATATTGTTCATTTTATCATTCCCCAGAACCTTTGTTGATATCCTTGAATTATTTTCATACCTCAAGTTCTAAATCGGACATTATCAATCAGTTGGCTAATCAGAGGAAGGAAGTATTATTTGGATGTAAATTTTCAGGAGTGTTCAGATTTTATTAAATTCACAATTCACTTCAGAAAGTGCAGAATTCAAATGATCAGAATTGCATGTGTATAAAAGCATGGTTAAAAAAAATCAAAATTTCGTATGACATCTAACACTTCAGCCCATGTTGTAGAAAGATGGAGGGAAAAAAAGGGGGGGGAGGAGGAGGAGAAAAGAAATACTGTAAAACCATTTCCATATTTGAATTCAGCAAACCAAAAAGAGATTTAATCCATTTTTGTTAAATTGCTGGCCACTCTTGTGTATCGCAGCAGCAAGGGAACCCACCAGAAAAATATTAAGTGAAAGTATAATGAAAGACTATTAGTATAATCATAGTTTGTGAAGGTCTTGACACTTGGCATAAGTACCATTTATTTGTGAAATCATGAATGATTCAGAAAACAGGAAAATATCTCCCCACCTCCCTTGTTCAAAAGAGGGGCACCCAGTGTAGTTCCATTGGGTTCTTATAAATAAGAAACATTTGTTGATTGTTAATCTGTATTTTCTGAACTTAATTTATCTTCATGTACAAAAACTGACCACAAAACCAGTTACTATCAGTGAAATCTCTTATTTCTTCCAAATTATTCTATTTTGTGAATAACGTAATATCTGTGTGATCAAAGTACTTGAATCAAAGATGACCTTATATGGAGTATAAACATTGTATATGAGGAAATGATGGTTATCCATTTCACAAGTTTCCTTTTAATCATTCAACATGTTTCATATTTATCATGATTCGATCAAGTAAACATTTTTCTGTAATTTATTTTATAAAATTGTAATTATATTCCCTGAACACTTCTTATCAGTGGAAACTAAATTCTTATTAATTTTAGGATGCTCCTTTTTGAGATTTCAAAGGAGGGGGTGTAGGGAAGTAAGTATGTGACTAGAATTTTAATTCCATACATTTGTTCCAATATTCATTTTATTGATTCCATTTGCTCTATCTTTCATTTTGAAACTTTCTTTTCTTTAAATTATTAATTAAACATAAATATTAGTTTTCTTCTCTGTATTTGTGATCGAATTCTTTCAACATTTCTGTTGAATTTGTTGTATTGATACTCTTTGGTACACTATGGGGAACTGAGTATGTATCTAAATCAAACACCATGTATTACCTAAAAAGTGTAATGTTGAAAAGTTTCAATATAACATGAATTAATCTTGATAGGTCAATTTATTATTTGAATGTGCTATCAAGGCAGAGTGCTTGTTTATTGAACTACTAATCAGAATTTGCAGATTTGTTGTATAATTGAAATATGTTATTTACACTATTAATTTTTCTTTTTCAGGAATGCTGTGCTGCAGATCTGAACTAAAAGTGCAGATGGAGAGATGGGATTATTCTGTGAAATGGTTATCATTAGATAATTGAGCGCAGGATAAATTATTTTTAACACAAAGGAAAGGTGCTGTTATTGTTGATTATCAGAATGCAATGTTATAATGTTTGCTGAAATCGTGGAATGAGTTTTGGTTTGTTGAATTCATGAAATGCCTACTGGCTTTTGTAATTACTGTGTAAATGTGTTACAATATATATTAATGATATTTCCATTGAATTTGTATTTATTTGTTGGCTATTTGAGAAGTATTCATGAATGTCAGTTCACATAATATTTTGCTTGAGCACTTGTTTTGTTTATCTCATAGTTTTTGAAAACTATATGCTTCTTTGTTAGAATATAATGCACTCTATTTATTTGTGTACGTACATGTTTGTTTCATTTTCATCTGCATTAACCTCTTGCACAGTACCTTAAAGAATCATTGTACTTTCTGAAGGTTTCATAAGTGGATGGAGCTGATATTTTGTTTGTAACCAAACTCACGTTAGCTCGTGTGGGGCCTCTAAATTGGAGCTCTTTGTGATTTTACAGTATTTAGCTTCTGTTCTCATTATTGTAAATTTTACGTACATAGCTGCTGAGAAAGAATTATTGCTCACGGTGTCCAAAATGTAAAACATAATAAAAAATAGTAAGCTGATAATACAATTGAAGTGTCTGGAAATGTAATGTTTATTCATATACCTCTTGTAGCAGGGGTGAATAGAAAATTCTACTATTGGTAGTTGCTACTGGATGATTTGTTATCTGCAGATCAGATCCCATCCCAGATCATATCTCCCTTTTTTTTGTATTCAAATTTTATATACACACTAAATTCAGATAAAATTCCAATTGCTGTCCTTGTTTGGGATCTGCTCTGAAAGCAAGAAGCTCCCAGAAATTCAAATCCAAAATACTTCTGGAAAGCAAACAAACGAGTATTAGGTGTACCTGAAGTTCATTAATGTAAATCGGTGTATTAATGATTTTTTGCCCAAACAATTTTATTTTGGCTGGTTGTGGCTTTTGAATTGAGAGCAAGAGACATAGATCATTTCCTTACTTAAAACAAAGTGAGATGTTAGTATTTCTTATAATAAGTAGTTATTGGAATATAAAAGTGTCTCAGAGTTTTAGTGAAACGTTAGTTCCCCAGGATATTGATTTTTTTTTTTGTACCTGGACATTTGTTTTTATTTTGTTTTGTTTTACAAGTCATAATGCATATTTTTGTGTGTAACTTCAGTGAAGCCTGTTTTAAGCAGCCACTATTTGTTCAGGAGAAAAATAGCTCTTAGTACTGGTGACTGCTTGATCGAGGTTTTGTTAATGTGGGAAGCAAACTAATTTTGCTATTTGTCATGTATTTAAATGTACTTAGTTTGTTAACTTCTTTTTAATTAAACTTAATCTACAAACATCTGAAGGTTTGTGCATGTGCAATTGTAATAACTCATTAACAAGAATCCTTCATTTTTGCAATATTTTTTCTCGCACAAATGTGTAGGTTTTCCATTTGTAGATTTAAATCCCAACTATGCTTAAGTTGCAATTCACATCCTGGAGAAATTTTAGAACTTGCATAAAAATTATTTTTCGCTATCTGGCTGAAAATTAATTTCTACATGGAGAAAAGCAACCTGAATTTTACTGTTCTTGGTAATCTAACTGAAAGGTGCCTGTGCACAGGAGGGTACTGAATCAACAGTGTTATTTGCCAGTCTTTAACTACATATAGTGTTGTGCCTGAACATTGCAAAATCATGTTGTGACTATCTAATACACTTTAATGTACAAGATGTGCATGACTGTTGATTACAAATCCAGGTGGCCATTTAAGAGGGAATATTTACAAGAGTCTTAAGGGAAAATCAATTTGTACCACAAACAACAAAAAAAATTAAAAAAGGGGTTCATTGTAACGGTAAAAAAGGGCTGTTGCAACGGGTTTCATTGTACAATTTATTTCATATTTAATTTTTATACAGGTATATTCACCTACAAATTAGATTAATAAAATGAACACATTAAAAATTATTACATTATTTTTACACGTTTCAAACTATTACAAATTAGTGGATGAAACAAAATCTCAGGAACTTGCATGTTTTTATTCATACTGTTGCAAATTGACAGTATTGCTTTAAGATAAAACCAGACACAATTTGATCTTTATTATTGTGAGTAAGGGCCAAAAAATTGTAATAATTCAGAATCTTTATCTTGCCAGTGGCAAATGTGGATGACAGCATGGAACTGAAGCTGTCTTCTTTATCAATATCGGGGACTAAAGAGTTAATTTGTAGTGAGGCAATTACATTTGTCCAACATTTTTTCACCTATATTTTCTAACTTGTTCCCCATTCTTTCTTCGAATCTTACACTGGCATGAATTTTTACCTTCAATTAAGCCATTTTGACAATAGCACAGATATTGTTCAATCAACCATAGTTAAAGTCCAGTTTTGGTACAATGAGTTATCTTCTTGTTATAAAATGTGCCAAAGCCAGTGGCATCATGCAAATGCAATGAATATCCACCAATTTCCATCAATCTTTGTGATCTAATTTTGATGTCTATTAGTGTGAAGTATTTTAAATCCTGTGATGCAGCTATCCCTTGTTAAGCCAATAGATTTGGTCCAAACTTCAGTTCATATTTGTTTATTGCAATAGGATCCCTAATTATTATTGGATCTTTGTATTTTTTCATGTCCAACATGCTCCCTTTTGCCATATTTTGGCTCTTCTGAGGGACTTTTGGAGGTATACTGAGGACATTCGGAGGTATCAAACTGCACGTGGGGATGATCTACCATGTGTGCTCTCCACCTTGGGTTCATCTTGACCTTGAGCTAACATGTGTTGTGAGAGTTAGCCTGTGAACAAACTCTGTGGTTGAACTATTAATGATAGGGAGCCAGTTCTTGAATGTCTACGAGATCTTATAGCATACTAGTTATCAGTAAGGTCTAAGGAGGATGAAGGTTTAGTGATTGAAAAAAGTGTGAATCCCCCATTCCACAAACATAACTGAAAACCTCCATGCCTTGCAAGGTATTCGTATCCACAGCCCTGACTGTGATGTACTTGGATGCTCCTGGCCAAAGCCCCTGGGTCGCAAGGCTGCCAATTCACTTATTGTCAATTCAGAATTTGAAAAACAATTCTAGCTCAAAAAGTATATAAATTTCTATTGCCATTTATTTTGAGAGTGGTATTATAAAATTTCTGTTATTTATTCATTTTTAAAAAAATCCAAGAGCAAATCAAACTTTTTACCCAATCTGTAATTTTAAGCTTTTATTTAGGAATACTTTTCTGAAAATCAAATATGATTTTCTGATCTAATTTTGAATAATTAAAAATATTGTAATAAAATATGTATGAAAAAAAAATTATTGCTTATTATGTAAAACTATTTCAAGGGTAATGATCAGAGGAGACCATCGTTACTGCCCGTGCTTCACCAGATGCAGCTATACCATTGCTTACAAAATACTTCATTTTATCATAATCCATCATAACACGTAGGCCACAGAGCTACAAAACATTTAATAATTTTGAAAATTGCATTTATTAGGGGGCCTTCAAAAATGCCATAGCAAACTTAAAATATAACTCCGAGTGCCTTTGCAAAGGCAATATGATAATCTATGTATAGGCAATTAGAAAACATTACATTGCATAAGTTGTGGCATATACCTAATAGCTGATACTCCATGATAATCATTAAGGGGAGGGGGGGAGCCTCGGAGGCTTGAATTATGCATTGCATGTGCACTTACAAAGTTATAATTTTTGAATAGTTATATTGTAAAGCGGAGTGAAGTGGAACAAAATTAGGAAACCTTTTCTAACAGATATGAATGATTTTAGAATGATAACTTGCATGTATCTCAAAAGCAAATGTGTGTTGGACTCTTAATTTTGAAACCTTAAATCTTTTTGTGTGTTGGGTTTTGCCGATAGCAGATTTGTCCACTGAAGCAATGTTCTTGAATGAGCATGTTATACTTTGATTAAGAGCTATAAGAAATGCATGCTATACCAGATGATTTTGCTAGAATTCAACTATTTTCTTTGGTGGTTTTTTGTTATTTAAGGTCGCATCAACTACTAGGTCATTAGCGACCACTATTGTGTGTAACGGTATGGTAACTATGAGGATGACACGAAATGATGATAGGGGTGTGAAAGGACGAACACAATACAACCATGCCTGAGGCAGGACTCAAATCCACGATCCTTCGGTCCGAGATCGCTAAGGCAGTAGTGCCCTAGAGATCTTGGCCATCCAGATCGGCTCTTTGGTGTTGTTTGACCCAGATGAAAACAAACAAATTGAATGATAAAATTCATAGCAATGTATTCAGAATAACCACATTAGTTAAGGCTCTGTACAAAGCCAATGTCGTAAAAAAAATTTTAAAAAAACACTAACTCAACTTACATCACACAATCAATCAACAAAACACACTTCAATTTAAAGGATAAAGTAAGAAGGTCATTAATTGGAAGATGGTAAATGTATTTAAGTATTTGTGATAAGTTTTCATGTTTTGATAGTACTCCTTTAATTGTAGTTGGTTTCTTTTTTGTGGGCTTGGGGGTTTTGTGCTTCTGAAGGTGTGGATGTTGTTTGGCATAATTTTCGGGATATTTTGGAATTTAGTTGAGCAAGCATGATTTAGATTTAGGAATTTAAATGGAGGGGAACACAAACATCTTGTATATTTTGTAAGGTATTTGAAAAAATGGCTTGTTCTTAGGTTTTGGCGAAGAAAGTTGACAAGCAACAAATTTTTAATGAAAAATATTTTATTTGCTTTGGCATTAATTCAATTAATGTTTATATTTGACAGAAATTTCAACATTGCTGAATGAATACAAGCTATGCTCCTGATAATATTTCAGGAACATAAAATGCATTGTGAGCAATGAAATTGCATGTTGTTTCACTAAACTGTTCTAACCAAACTGTTTATTTTTTCCTTCATTTTTTTGACATAAAGATTTGTATTAGATATATTTTCTTTGTATATTTTGTTGTGAATTGAAATATGAATAGTACATTACAGCACAAAGATAACTGTTGTACAAAATGACAGAATGGATGTGATAATGATGTGCACGCTTGATGTGTGGACAATGCTGCTTAACCTTGGGCGTAAGGAGACAGGGCACGAGTTGACAGATAGTAGTCTCCAGAGGAACTGAAAAATAATAAATGCATTATTAGAATGATTTTACCTTGTTTGATAAAAGCAAATGGGTGTTTAATGGGTTGAATTTCTGGACCTGTTGATTGGGTTGGGTTGGGTTTGGTTTGATTTATTTTCTTCAAAGAGCAGTAAAATCTGTGTGTGATGTGTAGGGGAGAAGTACAATCTACATTTTTTTTGTGCTCCAGAATCTTTTTCTCACCCGTACTATATGTAGTTGAATAATAAACCAACAAAGCAAGATTGGCAATAATTAAAAATCAAAATTTTTGCTCCCGACTTAAAGAAAAGTTATTTGGATTGATAAACAATTGATCAACAGCGATAAACAAAATTGTTTTTTTTTAGCTATTGCTCACAAAATAGTGTACCCTCAGCTATATTCCTACCATAACTAGCTAGAGGAGAGCTAAAAAAAATGTGCGTATTCAAGCTGGATGTATGTCCACAGGCTAAACAAGGGGTCTTCTGAAGCATTTGCTCAATGGATCAGGAAAACTGAATGGAAACCTGATCTAGATGGGGATTGTGATTGAGGAGTTGAAGTACATCACTTGTTACAGGCATATTAAGTCTTCCTAAAATTATGTATGCAAATGTTAATTAATGCATTAGATATCATTCTTAAAATAATATTTTTTTTTTCTTTTTGATGGTCAAAACTGTTTCTAATTGTATAGAAATAGTTATGGAGCAGAAAAGATTTGACTTGGAATTTAAACTTGTACTGTACTCTGTGCTGAATCGTTTCATGCTATAGCTGCCTTGTACAGTGGATAATTTGAGAATGTGTTAGTTCCACTTACTAATGGTTAAACAAAAGTTAAAAAATGGCTAATAAATGCTTTGATAATTCGAAGGTAGGATTTTGTACTGTCTAGAGAGACTATCATATCTTAACTTCAACGTGAGACTAAATGGTTATTGATTTTTGCCAATTTGAATATACTTTTGGTACTCAATTTTCACTTAGTCTAGTTGTGAAGTGACTTTATTATTATTATTATTGGCGTATAGGCCATTACTGACCACGCTACACGATTAACGTGTGTAATTCTTCCAGGATCAGCTTTTCAGCTGTATCCTTGGATTACAACAAGGTTGTTACGCCTTGTAGTGTGACTTATGAGATGATAGGATGATGATGATAGGTGAAGGGACAATCACAAATATGACCATGTCTACGCAGGACTCGAACCTGCAGCCTCCTCGGCACAGACGACGGCTACCGCAACCGTCTGCGCCACGGGGCCGGCATTATTATTATTATTATTATAATAATTATTATTATTATGATTATCATCATCAATAAAAATAAAACATTGCTGTGGGAAACCACCTAAGAAACTGCTTATACTCATTTGTTCATATAATGCTAATGAGCAGTAGTTTTAATTGCACCTAAGTATAAATAATTTATTTAAATTCTTATTTTTGGTTAATAAGAATTTCTTCAAGTTTAAATGTACAGATTCCATTGTATGTACTTCAAAATCACTTCATCTAAGATTGAGGTTCGATGTTTGATAAAAGATTTGTCTCTTAATATTTACCTTCCTTACTTCAGACTCAAAGTCATCCACAACAGTACAGTTTTGCAAGATTAATACTTTGACTTCAGAATACTGGTTATTTAGCTTTTGTTGGAGATTCATAGTTGTATGAGCATTTCTGCAGTAGCAGTTATTGTACAGTTTCATAACAACTTTATGCTAGCATTTATAATTACCATTATTCTTGTAATTATGAATATTGGTTAATTATTAATGTAGTGTACCTCATGAATCAGTTTGTTAATGGATATCTTTCCTCATTGAAAGGAAGTTGCTCAAAAAAAATGAGAATAAACAAATTATTTCTTACCTGTGTGAGGCTGGTTCTCCCATATTTTGTGATTCGCGAAGGTTGCAAAGTCCTAGGGTGTAGCTGGTGTAACTACTGCACCGTTTGCTTACAAACCTACTTGAAGTGACGGATTCAGCATAAAGTGCATATGAACGGTTGTGACTGCAAGTTCCTGTTTAAGCAGATATTCATCAATTATTAATCTCTTAGTTAATTTTGTGATGGTGTATCTTAAATGTGAATAAGTTTCTTTTACTTTAGAATATTCTCAAAAACTTTTAGATCCAGGACTTGTAAGTGGAAGTAAATTAGAAAGGTAAACAAAAAAAAAAAAAAATTGACCGTACTAGAGCAAGTTTGTGAAATACAAAATGCATTCAAAATGTCTGATAACTGCCCATTACCTGTGAGATCAAGAGCACAACCAGGCTGTGTTGTGCCTCCGTTGGGGAAGAAATCAGCAGTACCAAGGGATGTCAGGTATCCAAGACCACCACCATTAGTGTGGATAACTTGAACAAACTTGGCATCACTTGGATCCAATTTGTCAGACTTGGATGTGGTAAGGAACAATGGAAGGGCAGGATCCATTCCTGTGAAAAATGAAAACAATAATGAATTTATTATTAATTTTTTGTTTATGGACTTTCATGTAAATCTTACGCATGAAAGTTAAACAAATTAGTTTTATTAAGTAAGACATGATTCCAGAAATAATGTTCAGGGATGATTTACATTAGATCTTGTAACTCCTCATCACCAATTATTTATAACATAATCATTATGTGGCGTTTCTTGTGATGTTGCAAGGTATGGGTTTTTATTAGTTCACGTAGTTGAGTACATTGAGTGACTTTGAACACTTCTTGTTCTTATGGGTTCGAGTGTAGAGGAGCACCGAATGTTAGCATGTTCTGGAAAGCATTGGAACTCAGTTTTTACATCAGAGAGAAAAGCAACCAAACTTCACCAAGTGGGTACTATATTCTTTCAGTCAAATTGTAATTTGCTAATTCACAAAAATGAAAACTGTCAAATATAAGTGTGCAAAATGATGGGATTTTGATGCTTTCAAAGGAATAGAAAACTGCTGATACCTTTCACTGTCTTGCTTTTTAGTAAAAAGGGTACATAGATTAGCAATTGTTTGACAATATGAATAGTACAATTGTTTGAAAAGACCAATAGTCTTAGAGTAATTTTTGCTAAAGAAAGGCTTTCTTATTTTTTCCTCGAAAACCACTCCAAATGTTTGTTCCTCAGGTTGAGCAAATAACACAGGTCCCATGTTCGTTGAAATCTAATTTTTCGAAAATTACAAAAGTGCGATTATTGTTCCTACAAGTACAGTATTTAAGATGGAGATTTTACCTCATTGAAATATGTTCTTTAAAGACATCTTAAAATAAGTTAATGTTCAGTTTTTCGAAAATTTTTAATTTTTTAAAAGATTTTTTCTACAAAAGAAAAAAAAGAGGAAAAAACCAATTTTTTCCCACAAATAGAAGGGCAAAATTGCAAGTTTAGAAATACTGCGAGAAATTATGTACTGTTGTAGCACCACTAGGTCTTTTGCTTCCCGTTTCGCGATCCTGTTAGAAAAACTTGCCAATCAGAATCTACCTTTGCCATGAAACTTTATTTACAGTAAAGAAATAGAACTTGCTGCAAGGAATACGAATTTAGAACTTTAATCACCCAATAAATCATTGAATTTATTGAAGCATAGACAGGGTTGCAAAATACTTTTAAGAGCGTCTTCCCCAAATCTCCATGTAACATTTCCTCAGGTTGTCGGGTTGTTACAAAGTCCGGTTGTTTACCAAGGGGGTTGCAAAATATTCGTGTGTGGGGGAGTGTCTTCCCTTGCTCCTTCCCCGATGCGCTTGCCTATGATGTACGGAATTAAGTCGCGATTACGGAAGAATACGAAGCGAATGTTTGAAGTTTTCACTGTGATCAACGCAGGAGTAGATCATTGCCTCTTCGCCGACACTGCTGGTACGTACCTACAACTTGGGCGGCGGCGTTACCAAGACGGTCTCCGGCAATTCCTGCGATGTGGGCGCCCAGACTGTGCCCGATGATGTAAACATCATTGAGATTAAGGCCTCTGGACGACTGCAAATACTTGATGGCCTTAGCCAGGTATTCACCGACGCTCACAGTGCGGGCTTTAGCGATGTTATACAGCGAGGCAGCAGTCCCAGACCAGTCAACCATGACCACATTGTACTGTTTTCCTGAGTTGATGTACGCTGAAATGGATACGATTGTCAAATTCACCGCCTGAATAATATTAATCCTCCAAATTTTTTTATGTCCATTTCTTTCCAGTTAAAAATAGCGGTTTTAATTAATGACAAAAGCAAATAATTTGTTAATTATTGCATCTCAATCGATGTTCACTGTTGAAATATCGGAGGATGGCCAACGAAACAATATCTTCCTCCTTAAAATTCAGCTTAATTTACGTTTAAATCATCGTCATATGTATATAGTAATTGCAAAAAATATAATAATGCTAATGCAAATATTTAATGTATTCTTTAACACAAACCAGAAGTCTCACTCAACGGAAGTACGCTAGTGAACCATTGCATAGTAAAGATGCAATAATTTATTTATAATTAAAATCTTAGTACATTTTCTGAAAAAATGATAGATATCGCTAAAGCACAAATGCTTTGTAAACAATTTCTATAAAAGTTACCTCTGCGAATATCTCTCAGTGTGGTCGCTGAAGACACCCATCCGTGGATAACGAAACGAGTCGGGTTGTTGGGGTTGAAGTTGCGGGCTGAAGAATCGTCTCCGACGACGATATTCTGGGCTGATGATGGGTTGCTCCTAAAGTAAATTTCAATGAATGAATTTCGAATTCAATTGGGTCTTTGTAACTTACGCAATATTTCCTATTGTGATTTTGTTTTTATTTAAAACATCGACTGCATAAATACCATTTAAATGTTTAAGCAGATAAAATATTGTTCTTAAAGTTTTCAGAAACCGGCAAATGGGCGCGAATTACGGAAACAGCTTGTATTGACGCAGAGCAGGGGTGTGCACAGCCTCAAACTAGAAGGGGGTAACTATATTTCTGGCTTTCTTATCCATTAATTATGTTATTTGCATATCACTTTTTAATGGTAAAACAATTTTTAGCCAATTTTTGAGGTGTATTTTTAGGCTGTTGTAGAAGGGATAGACTCCGACCTGACTGCATTTTTCTCGCAGTAACATTTTTTAACATTTTTAGCTATTTTCGGCAATATTTTTTTAAACTTTTTTGCTATTTAAAAGGGTTTTTATGTGAAGTTGAGTCCATTTCGGCAATTTTCATGATAGAGTCGAAAGTTTCTTCAGGTGTTCTTGAATTCGTTCGTTACACTGTAAATACATAATGAACGACTTCATTTTTTCATAGATTTTGGAAAATATAAGAATATTTCACAATTTTTAAATATTTTTTTAATATGATTTCATGAAATTAAAAAATAAAAAACTGAAATATAAACATTAATTTTAATTGTTAAAAATAGCGATTCAACTAGTTAATGACTACAGCACTATACGTGCTGACTTTTACAACTGAGTAAAACGCCGAAATCTTTCACGTTCTATACCTCTATACAGTTGTTTTAAAGCGCCATTACGGAACCAGATCTATCGAAAATTTTCCCGGAACCATCTAGGAACTCTTTGCGGTACCCTAGTGTTTCGTAGAGAAACACCGACATTCCGCATTTCCACGAAGAATAATAAGGTAATACGAACATAGTGCGCACAGAGGGGCGAGGAGGCGGGCCATAGCCCCTCGGAACATTTCGAAAGGGACCTGTAGCCCTGCGTAATAAATCATTTTATTTCTGCAAATACGAGCAATTCTTGATTTTCCTTTTTAAACTGATATTTTGAGGGAATTGGTAACATTTGGAAAAGAACCTCTGTAAATCATCTGGCACCTGTAAATGGTTCAACTTACAATTACCAAACACGATTTATCATTAAAATTATAATTTGCATGTTTTCTTCGTATGTTTTATTTATTTTCTGGAAAATACATGTATGAACCAAAAGGTTTAATGGAAATGGGGGCCCAAAAATATGAGCGTACTACGCTTTGCTGAGCGCTGCATTTGATTTGATTTATTTCGTCAATGAACAGTAAAAAATATGTGACGTATGGGGAGTATGTGACATATAGTAGAATTGCGCAGGTTGCATTGAATGCGAATCACTTACTGAGTGTAGAGTTTGAGCGTGACTTCCTTGGCGCCATCCCATCTGGGCAAGGGCTCATCGTACTCGACGGCGTCGATGAGGTGGAGCTTGCCCTCCCCGTCTTCCATCCACTGCAGACGCTCCCGCGTGGGTAGCGCGAGCGCTGTGCACCAAAGAGTGGTGATTAGTTTGATTGTTAGGTTCTTAGTCCATCGGCAGATATACAGCTTTTGGTCACTTCTGAGCCGTTATGAAATAATGAGTGAATATTGATTCCGGACGGGTCAACTACTGAGGCCGTTAGAACCGTTAAGTGTAGTGCATACTATATCCCGGTAGATGTTCTTTCCTTGCCGGAATGTGAGATCCGGCGCTGACATACACGGCGTCTTGCCGCCCTCCAGGTGTCTCCTAAGCGGGGCATTACAAGTTCTCCCAACGCATGTAGGAGTGCAAGCATAAGGGGAGAGGAAGGGACAAGGATGAGGAGAGAAAGATCGCTTATTGGAGAAACTACGGGCAACTACCAATCAGAGCAGTGGACCGCTAGAATTCTCCAGACCGACCAGCTTAGGCGGCTCAAAACTGATGTCACTGCAGTGCCTCCGGCCGGGAGGACCTCGAGTGCCGTCGGTGGCAGGATTTTCGATCGAGCTATTTAACTATTCATTGTAGAATCACGACCATTCATGAATAATAAAACAATATTTCCTCATCTGGGCTTACTAATAATCACAAAGGTAAAGTCTCATTTAAGGACTGGAAATGAGACTTTACCTTTGTGATTATTGGTTAGCCCTTCATTTGTGAAATGAAATGAGACTTTACCTTTATGATTAAAAGTAAGCCCTGATGAAGAAATTAAATATTTCGAAACGTTGGCGCACCTAATTGTTTCTCTAACCACAATGACCAATCCCGTGAACCAATTTTATTTTATTATTTAACTATCGAAAATTTACCACCGTCAGGACTCGAACTATAGAACCTCCCAGATAACGACACTGCAGCAGCAACGGATAACAGTATTGCGGGTTAACCAGAATTGTAATAAGGAAAGTCAAGCCCCCAACGTTCTGCGCAGGGCGGGTGCCTCAACAAGCGTCTACTAAATTGACTTGAAAAGTAACCTATGTGTTTTTAACAGTAAATTGTTATGCGTAAAATTATACATTCTTCCCTACACATTTATACACTGCACACATTTATAGGCACAGATGCCATTCCAGGTAAAATGTGTGTTAGTATTCGATATTAAAATACTAGATTGAGTCATTTGAGAAACAACTCAATTGAACATCTCGCCCACACCTTCAATGAGTTTTTCCCCCGAGAAACTGCGTAAACAGAATTTTTTCCTTATACAACTAGCAGATTTTTAAGATTTCCGAACGTTTAGTTTTTAAAGAGAGGTTTCCCAGATGACGAATTCTATTGAGAGTCGCACAAATAGCTCTTTTTACTGAAGTACGTGAAAGTGTCGAGAAGCGCCCATTTGCCGTAAGTACAGTGTAAAAGTACAGTCATTCAGAAGAAGAGCGTAGGCTCCTGAAGAGGAAAATACATGTAATTGCGAGACAAAACGGACGCGAACCGCGATGCGCATGCGGGAAAGAGCCGACTTGGGAGCAGACTCTCGTATTCTCCACTGCTTTGGCCGGTTGCAGTGGCTAAGGGTATCAACTGATGTCATTGCTGTGTCTTTGACCGGGAGGTTCTAGGGTTCGAATTCCGATGCTACCATACACGTGGCAGGATTTTCGACACTACATAACTAGATGGTCAGGTCGAGTTCAGCTGCTGTCTGAAGGAGAATTCTAGCGGCTGGCTGCCCTGATCGGTAGTTTTTTTCGTGGTTTCTCCAACCAATACCACGTGGCTGACGGGGCAATGCCATAATAAGCGGGCAACTGACCTCGCGCGATCTTTTCTTACTCTTCCTCTCCCTATCCTCTCCCCTTATACACACTTACATGCCACCACAGATGTCGGGAGACCAGTTGGCGCTTAGATTTTGCCCCAGAGGGGACGTTGCCCCGCTGGGAAAGATTAATGAATGGGGAAAACAGCAAGCCGACGTGTACGTCGGTGTCAAATCTCGCCACCCAGAGGTGGGAAAACACCCCACCTCCCGTGTTAAAACATGCACTGCACTTGCGGGAGTAATGACTATAGCAATTAACGCGCCCGGAAACACGAAAAACTCAATTAATACACGTTGAAAGCTCATCAGGCGGGGATTAGTCCCGCTTGCAAACGCCAAGGTGGTTTATTTTCCTTCAACAATTTTCCAAGAGAAAAATTGCGTAAGAAAATGGTGTCGATACAAATTCTCTTTTCATCGACCTCCTTCAATTTTTCTACAATAGCATAAAAAATTATAATTCAAGTAATTACACATAGCTGTCTGAAAGTTAACAATTATTCATACAGTATTAACAAGGTTTGGAAAAAATTGTTAGATTTATTTTTTTAATTTTTTGACGGCTATTGATGTTTTCAAATTTATAAATACAAACAAAATTCCAACAACCGAATCACATTACAATTGGGTTGAAGTTATATTTTATTAATGTGAATGATGGAAAATTCAAAAAGCAACTTTTTAATTTATATAAGTATACAAAATAATAAAATTCATAAATATTTTTGTCACCAATTGGAACTTAATCTTTATTACAATTTTTTGTATACCGATCAGTCGAAGATGCATAATTGGATATCGACTCTTTGATCATCACCCTTTAAAATGTCATCGACCCCGGGTGAGGGGGGGGGGGGTGACGAGTCGGTACTGACTCCGTTGGGAACCTCCCGTACGCTATTACATGTTCAATGCATATGTGTACATTTATGCGCGATTGCGTGCTTGCGCGAAAACATGCCTCCAGAGCGACATTAGTTAGACGTGAAATATGGGCAACATAGAATGGATAGAATATAAACCTAATCGCCAATAAACTCACCCTTTCAAATTTATCTCCACAATTCAGTGCACAATTTTTCTCTTTTAAACGGTATAAGAAGTATGCAGTAATGTATATTTTGGTCTTTTGGATCTTTATTAAGATTTTTTCCTTATCGTGGGACATACTCATGGACTAATGCCGCTTTACAACCCAAAGACAAAAAATCTCAGTAAATTATCTGCGTCGACGAATCGAAAATCATTATCACCGCAGCTCGTTGCTTTGTGCAATCAACATTACAATGTTTTCTCATCCGAGAGAACATTGGTAATAAATACGGTACCTAATGGCAAATATGTTCGAGATCTATTCTTAGAGTTCAATAGTAAAATTGCATAAAATTTTTTTCTGAGAGTGAGAATAATGTGGTTAAAATCAGTTTTTAAATTGCAAATAAAAAATAGTGGATTATAAGATGAATATCATTTTTTTTAACTATTACTGTTTTCTGTTATTTTAAGGAAATTTCTGCAATTTATTTTCAAACGCCTAGCAAGGTTTGTTTTTCCAAAAACACTAAGGCGAACGAATGTTGCAAAACACTACGTATATTTTACCTGCTGTTGCCAGGAGGACGACGAGAGCTAGACGGAGAGCCATGGCTGCGGACTATGCTGGGCCCGCTTGAAGTGCAAGCTGCAGGACATTCGTGGGGATCCCTTATTTAAAGCGACATGGGCGGGGCGTCGGCGGGGGCGTGGTGTGAGTGTTGGCGGGGACGCCACCTCTCGAGAAAGGGGGCGGGGGCGAGAGACGCGTGTCCACTCCCACGCCTCCGTGAAGACGCTTGTTTTCGGGGAGGCCTCTGTCTCATTTTCTGATAACACTCGTTACCCTTGATTGAGTGCGTTTGAAGACGGTACTCGACGTTTCTGCATAAACATCGGGAGCGTACGTCCGATGTTTCTGGCTTTCACGTGGAATCCGCGTGGAGTGTGCACTTGAAGAGGTTACTAACTTTCAGGAGATCCTGACATCACGGAGATTCTTTTGTTGATTAAATGCGTTAATTACTTGTAAAGGTGCAAGGTCCCTCAGAAAGTAAGCGTCTAATAGACTTTTGCACTTGACATGACTTCTAATCAATGACCTTGAACACTGCCACACTAAATATACATGTATAAGTATATTATTTACTAAAGCTAGAATAGGATCCCAGAATTTAAGAAAACTTGCACAAAATACATTTCTCCCCATTGCATGCCCAAGTGTGTAACTGTTTTTGATGTTAAATAAATAAATAAATAAATAAATAAATAAATAAATAAATAAATAAATAAATAAATAAATGAATAAATAAATAAATAAATAAATAAATAAATAATTTATTATAAAAATGACTTACTTAAGGACGGGAATATATTTTCAGCAAACGCCGTTGTCTATAACTACACAACACTCGACGTAGTAATCATATTCAGCAGGTGATAGTATCAACAGCTCACTGCAAAAAAATCACATATAATACATGTACATTATTTTGCAACACCTTGTCAGATAATATTAAACGATTAAATTCGATACAAAAGTTGAAGTCTCAAATAAAATCTTTTCTGCTGCACAACTGTTTCTGTACTATTAGAGACTAAACCGAGCACCCAAAAGGAAAGTAATATTAATTTTCACAGTGACATTTAATGTATTATTTACCATTTGGATTGTATAATTCTAAAGAACCTGTAATAAGTATTGTACTTCAGCGTGTAGGTCAGTGACCCCAATCTTGATCAGGTTTTCGTCCAGTTTCCCTGATCCTTGAGCAAATGCTGTGATAGCCACTTGTTTTGCTTCTGGACAATAAAGGAACGTCAAAATAACTTCTCCCCATAGCATGTCATGCACAGGTTTTAACTGTTTTTGACGTAAATAAATAAACACCTGGCTAATGTCGAAGTACCCCCAAAAACGGGCCACAGACCACGCGCAATTTTTCGTCCTTCTTTCTTGTCTTATCTTCCCCCCTTACATACACATACACAACAATTCCACATGTGTCGGGAGACCAGTCGGAAGCTTAGAGCATGCCCGGCTGGGGCGGTGTCACGCTGGTCGGAGATACCTGGTTGAGGAGAATTCCAGCAAGGTGACGTTGGTCGGCGCCGGATCTCACCAGCCAGCGGGAGAAGAGCACAACCACATCACGTGTTAAGCATGCACTACATTTACGGGACTAATGACCCTAG